GCGATGCTGCATGTTTCATTTGCTGTTGGAGGTGTGCTTGATTATTTCAGACTGTGGGCGCAGCGTGTGAAAAAGGATGTTGCTGCAAAGGTTGACGAGTGCAAGAGTGACGAACGAACGTTTTTGGGACCCACAATGTTATCGCTTCTTGTGACAGGCAAAGCGCTCGAGATTCGACGACAGTTTGATTGGCTCATGGAGGAGCAGCCCCTTTTAGATTCAGACCGGCTTTCGCGGGCAATGCATGCAGTCTGTGGTAATGACACGCACAAGTCGCAGTGCTTGGAGCTAATGGTTCATGCGTCGTTGGCTGCTGCTGCGACTTGGGAGTTTCGGTTTGTTCGGGTAGTTACATCGTTTCCAATGCTCCTGTTGTGGTTTGCGGGCGAGCCCCCCAATGTCGAGGACCCGAAGAGGCAGAGTGTTGCCCAGCTACTGCTCGAGGCAAGCGATGGCATATTGCGAACGCGGCACAGCGATGTGGCAGCGAAGCTCAAGTCATTGTATCAAGACGAGTTTGAGGAGGTTGTTCGTTCGGGCGGGAGGTACCCTATGCGCTTATTCTCTATATGTCTGTTGCTTCGTGCTGCGATGGCTGGGGGCACTCAGGATTTGGAGGGCGACAATTCAGTCCTTCAAGTGATGGCATCGAGAGCGAGAAGGTTGAGAATCGGACTCGCCAGTGCTCGGATGCAGCTCCAGCGAGGTCGTCGGATTTCTGCCCATGATTGCGTTGCGATGCATGGCGATGTCAAGGCTGCCCAAACGACAGAACAGCATTGCAATCGTTTTGGGCCGCTTGTCGTTTCCGAGGGCTGCCTACCTGAGCTCCATCATGCAGCCGTTGGCGCAGCTGCATCCGGTGAAGGTGCTGACCAAGTGAAGGCTGCATGCAGGGCCCATGCTGTCGCCCAAGTTGCGAGCACTGGTGCGCAACATGTTTATTTGATCGACCCAGTGGCTTTGATTTTTTGCTGGAAGTATTGCAGTGTGTGCTTGGTTGCAAGCGGGGAAGTCGAGAGCGATATCTTCATGCTCGACCGCCCTTTGCAGATTTCGCTGCTATCAGACCTGCTTGCAAATAAGGGCGCCAGTGATGCACTGGATGCAACTGAGAGCGCGCGTTGTGATGGAAAGGGCAAGAAACGACACCCCCTCCAACTATTTCAAGTTCCATTGAGATGGTTTTCTACGTTGGTTGCTGACCTTGATCGTGGCAATGGTACAACTTTCGAGCTCAAGATGAAAAAGAAAAATTCGATATTTTTATTGAAAAAAAATCGAAAACATGATGCTACATGTATCGAGCTGGTACCTCCCATCACCGATGGCGACCACGATGCGTGCGACGAGGACATCCTCACGGCTTTGATGCAGGAGATCATGGAGGCAGACGGGGAGGCAGACGATGCAGACGACGGGGATGCGCCCCATGGACATGGAGAAGACGACTCAGGCGACCACGACAGCGAGGACGACAAGCCTGGTGGCGACGATTCTGATAGCGACCACATTCTAAAGCCCCCAGGCGCCTTCTTCCACCCAGCAGCCGAAGTCGCCGACATCGACGCCAAGGCTTTCATTTTGGAGGCTGCCGAGCGCCAAGTTGAACACCATGGGCGGAGCTTGCTTGCTGCGAGTGTGGAGGCTGCCACGCGACCGACTGCTGTTGGGCCTCGGTGTGTTTCGCTGGTGTTGAAGGATGGCCCTGCTTTTTTTGTTTGGTGGGGCGATTGTGTGATTCCGACCGATCGGAGTTCATGCATGGGCTGGCGGATTGGACAAGCCAAACAGGATTATTTTCACAGTGCCATACAAAAAAGATCGAGAACATTTTGGGGGCGATGTCGAGATCAAAGTTGCTGATGTCCCCGTTCACGTCGCAAAGGGAACGGGCGCTGGGAGAACGCCCATGGTCGAGTGGGCTCTTGTTGTTTGGACAGAGCTGAACGCAAAATTATACAGTGGCCCATTGGAGCACGAGCAACCACACCGACATGCTCTTCGACTTAACAATGTTGAGTTGTCAGACGTGTGTATTTTCTGTGAGGCTTGCGAGGCCAATGACGTGGAACGATAAGATGATGCTGTATCCGATTGGAGAGTTGATCTGTTTGTATGTTCGAGCTGCTGTTCACTGTGGCACGTCGGATGTGCCAGCTTGTTTGGGACAAGCAATGATGATGATGAGAAGCGGCCTGCGTTCGCTTCGAAGCGTGCTGAGTACGAGTTCGAAGCGTCCTCCTTTACTTGCCCAATCATCTGAGACAAAACGAGAAAACCGTCCACATCTCCGTCCACATCTCGTCTTCGTCATCGTCGTGGTCGCCGTCGTCATCGTCGCCGTCGTCGTCGTAGGTCGTCACCATCGTCGTCATCGTCATCATCGCCATCGGCGTCGTCGTCGTAGATCGTCGTCATCGTCATCGTCGTCGTCCCGAAGACTCGCGTCTGGAAGGAAACTCGAAAAGGGTCCAAGGGTGCCGAACGATGTTTACTAATGGGTGTGAGAGTTGGCAAATTCTCATAGCAAGCTTTACTCGTCATCTTCGTCGTAGTCGTCATCATCGTCGTCGTCATGGGGGGGGGCGGGAAGGGAGGCAGTCACGCCGCAACGGGTGACACGCGCGTGTCGCCCGTTACGGCGTCGTAGTCGTCGTCATCGTCCTCGTCGTCGTCATAGTCGTCGTCGTCGTCGTAAGACCTGCAATGACAGTGCCCGCCCTTGTTGGCCACCTGTGCTCGTTCGGGCCGCGGGCCGCCCGATCCAACCTTCATTATCGGAATGTTGGCCCTCCTCCTCCTCCTCCCCCTCCTCTCCCCTTCCTCCTCCTCATCCTCCCCCTCCTCCTCGTCATCCTCTTCCTCCTCTTCCTTCTCCTCCTGGCTCAAGGTTTTGGAGGTTTTCGGCGACGTCGGAAACCTCCTCCTATTCCTCCTACTCCTCCTCCTCCTCCTCCTCATCCTTCCCTTTTTCCTCCTCCTCCTCCTCCTCTTCCTCCTCCTCTCGAGCGTTTGATTGTTTTGACCTGCGCGTCCTCCTCATCGTTCCCCCCCTCTCCTCTGTCAAGCACCTGGCTTTCTCCAACAGGAGGGGCGTCATCCTTCTCCCCATCCGCCTTTTTCCTCCTCGCCCTCTTCCCCCTACTCTTCCCCCTCATCATCCTGCTCGTGTTCCTTCTGATGCCGCCCCTCCTCCTGCAACAGCGTTGGCCGACATGCCGAGGCTTGCGGGTGCCGCAGGACCGTGCTCCAAGGGCGCGCCAGGGTGCAACCCCAAACACAAAACAACGTCGGGAAAATAACGACACACGAAGCAGAAGAGAAAGAGAGAGAGAGAGAGTGAGAGAGAGAGAGGGAGAGATAGAGATAGAGAGAGAGGGGCCTCAGAGAGGCGGGGAATCAAACAAAGAAAAATGACACACACTAAACAAACAAACACAAAACAACAAAGCAAACAACGAAAACAAACGAAAACACAATACAACGCACACAGTTGATATTGTTTTGCCGACTCAGAGATTGACTGAACTTTTTCGGTGACCGATGGGGGACCACATAGACACGCGATGTTCATGTGGCCACCGCGGGCAGCTGACGTGAACGCGCTGTGTTCATGTGGGGGGGATTAACATGGCATGTTAATCTGGCCCGCCTGGGGAGGGGCACGTGAACACGCCATGTTAATGTGGCTTGTCTGGGGAGGTCACATTAACATGCCATGTTAATCTGGGCCAGCGTCTGGGGGGTCACATTAACGCGCCATGTTAATGTGGCCATTTGAACGCCGTGTCAATTTTTTCCCTTGGCCGTAAGGACTGCTAGGGCCACGAGAAAAACATAGCATGGCAGCATGTCCGGGTATCATGCAAAACAAAAACACGCAGAAACACGCAGTGTTAATGTGGGCCAGCGATGGGGATGGTATAATTCAGCAAAGCTGGGGAACCACATTAACACAGTGTGTTAATATGTCATGTATTGGGGGAGGGTCACATGAACATCCCGTGTTAATGTTGCCTGCCTGGGGTTGTAACATTAACATACTTTGTTAATGTGGCCTGCCTGGGGTAGCCACGTTAACATGGCATGGTAACGTGGTGGGTTGGGGGGGCACATCAACACGCCATGTTAATGTGGACAAACCTGGGGGTGCTAGAGATGGGCAGCGAGGGAAAATCGGTGGTAAGGTTAGGCAAGACGGAGAGGGAAGACCAGACAAAACGGGGTGGGCCTGTCACGGTAGGTGATCAGAGGCGTCGGGGAAAAAGAAACGAAACAAAACAAACAACGAGGAAGACCAAACAAGACGGGGAGGGCCAAACAAAACAGGCCTCCTCCTCTCTTCCGTTCTCCACCATAGCCGTTTTAGTTTTGGTTCGAACGTGGCGCTGATTGTCTTCCATGCGGAAGACTTGGCCATTTTGCCCATCGAGGGCTGCGCAACGTGTGTTGGTCCACTGCAGTGGGCCTTCGCTACTTGGTGCGATGGCAGTTGTCGGTGCGCTTGTCGGAGGGCGGGACTACACCGAGTATGCATCTGTCAAGGATAAGTATGGGCACGACAAATCCCTACAGGAGCTGGTTCGCCTAGTCGATGCAGATTGGCTCCTGGATGGTAACTGCCACTCGCAGTTCCTAGGTGAGGGAGACGAGTGGCTGCCATGGAGACACCCGGAGAACGACAGGGGGGACTTGTCCACCGAGCTTAAGCGAACGGCTCCTGTTGAATCGATCGGCGTCGTACCTGGCATCATGAAGGGCGCTTGGGTGATGAAGCAGAGTTCCAGCACACATAAGGTTTGGGTTTTGCACTGGGCGTCGTTGATCGGTGGCCTGCGAAGGGCATGGGAAGAGTATCCGCAGCACGAGAACCCAATGGTCCAGCACAGCGTGGCAGCAGGGGTGGAGGGGAGCAAGCTCTACGACCACAAGACCCCCTCTGTGCGTCTGCAGGTTCTCGAAAGACTTTGGAAATCGGTTTAACGACGACGCTACAGCAACAACGTTTCTCGAGATTGCCAGATCTACGAAGGTTGTCGAACCAGGATGGAACAGGCGCAAGAAACTCTTTGGCTGGACCAACAAGTCCCTGGGGAGCTCCCAGTACGACGAAAAGAAGTTCGAGTGCACCAACAGCATCTACGAGAGCAGGTGGCCTACATATAGGAATTTCGAGGTGTGTTCCAACTTCTACAAAGAGACTTCGAAAGTAGAGATGGATATGGGCGAGCGAGGTGGGCAAACAGTATGGGATGTCTTCGTGGAGAGAGCGCAGGCCGAAGTTGATTTCACCCACCCTGCTGCGAAGAAGTATGCCCTGATCTTCCAGAACCTGCACAACATATGGCAGGCTTTCAAGGGCAGCCCGAGCGGCGCCATGCTCGACATCATCATGATTACTCTGCCGAAGCTGGGTGCGCCCATGGGGACATGCTCGCTTGCCCCAAATGGCCTTGGGCCATTGCCACTGCCGAAGGTGACCGAGGAGCAGCTCGACTCCCTGACGGTGGCCATGGACGACAGCCCAGCGCAGCACCTGCGGAAGAAGTTTCGAGAGGAGCAGCTCAGGGAGATGAAGCTGGACGAGCAGAAGGCGAAGCTGGCCGATGCGAAGGCGAAGGCGAAGGGCAAGGAGGGCCAGAGCAAGAAGAAGGTGCTTCGGACGTAACAAGCGAGACAGCAGCAGCATAGGGAGGTGAGAGTTCCCCCAATCGGTTTCGCAGGTGTTTCGGTTAGTTCGGTCTTTGGTGGTGTGGCTTTGTTGGGATGGCCTATATGGCCTTTGTGATGGAGCTCGCTCGCCCTATGCTGCCAGAGTGGGATGTATCCCGCCGTCGATTTGGGCTGTTGTATCTTTTGAAATTCGGTTTCGATGGTACCAACCACTGCCCAATCCTTGTTACGTCCAGCACCCTCTTGGCACCTTGCCAAGCACAGGTTCCCAAGAAAGGCGAGCTCCATATCCCTGTCGAGTCCGAGGCTGGTGGCACTGGCGCTTTCGTCGAGCACCTCAACGACCTGTTCAAGTACCTGGTGCAGATCGACCCCAACCAGAAGGATAAGTACACTGGCTTCATGGTTCTGGGGCTCTTCGCCCAACTCACAGGTGGGGTTGCCGTCAAGTCAGGTGGTGGCCTCAAGTACATCAAGAAGTGGTCGGCCATGAGGAGGCCGATGAAGGCAGATGCCTACAAAGCAGCTGCCCTGGCCCCATCGCAAGTCTGATATTGACTTCCAGGGAGAAGATGGCGACGTCGTCGCCTGCGAGTTTGCTGCTGCTGGGGCCCAGGAGCAGGCCCCACCCGAAGACTACCTTCGAGGTTTGGTGGCCGATGTCAGCAACCACGCAGAGGAGATGGTGAAATATTTCGCGAAGAACAACCCTGCCATGCCCATCGTCGCCCACCCATCGGCAGCGACAGCGCTCAACCAGGCGATGCTGGCCACCCTCGCCCACGCGCAGTCCGGCGCCACAGCGCCGACGAGGAAAGATGCAGCCATGTGCCTGGCCAGCGCTGCTGCCGGGGGGGTGGCGGAGATCATCCCCGCAGCCTGGGGCACAGTGCTCGAGGCCATCTCGATCATCAGGTCCGCCAGCTCCGACGGCAATGGCATCGACATCTCGAGCATCGACCAGAACATGGCCAGCTTGATCGAGCATGGCATCTCCAGCGAGTTGTTGTTCGTTTGCAGAGCGACCATGTTTTGCCGCATCTGTAGTTCGCTTGGTGTGTAATGTTACTTGGACAACACGACCTCCCAGATGAAGCAGACGCCCTACCTGCCTGTGCCCATTATCGAGTCGGTAAAGCAGCTGCAGAATACCCTGTGCAACGCTACCCGAGATGCTGGTTGGCCCTGCCAGGTCGAGAAGTTGAAGAGCGGCATGCCGAAAGCTCTCTTCGACATCTTTGCGAGGTCTACTGTGGAGTTCCATGAGTTTGCTTCGGCATGGGTGGAGGCTGGCATGGGCGTCGCCTGCGTCTGCGTCAAGGTCGATGTCGCCGAGTACCTCGAGACGAAGAGGCGGGTGATTGATGTGATTTCCTCAATGCCTGCGAAGGCCTTGGCAGACCACATCGAGAGGGCAGCAGGTTGCAACTTCCAAGGGTTGGGCTGCATGCCGGCATCCCTCCTGTCTTTGTGCTTCGGCCACTGCTGCGTGCAGGGCTCGGGCCTGCGCCGGCGGGGATGCTTGCGCGTTGTTCAGCGCCTGCAAGCTGCGACCTTCATCGGGGGACGAACGTTGTCAAGCTCACCCGCGAGATCATGGAGAGCGTTACGCCGAAGGTGGACGTGTTCCCTGCTGAGCGCCAGAAGCCGCTCAACCTCGTGTCCAACCAATTCGAGACCAAGCACGCTGCCGAGGAGTTGGCCGTGAAGTTGGATCAGAGGGGCATCGCCTTGATCGAAGTGAAGCTCGCAGAGGAGTGGCCGCACATGTCATGCGTGGAATCGCTCGTGGCGGCTGCTGAGGAAGCTCGACAGGAGGCTGGCGAGGTCCCCTGCGCACCCGACGCAGAGATCGAGGTTCCCGACGAGATGACAATTGCGCAGTGGGAGGAGCACGTGGCGAAAATGGAGGCTGAGGACACCGCCGAAGAGAAAGGCGTGAAGCTGACGACCCAGAAGAAAATCATTGCAGCCGCAAGCCTGTACTTCGCGAATCGGGCCCGCGACGCAGTGACGTACGGAGTCGATGCTGGGTTGAAGAAGTCCCTGTCTATCGACATCAAGGGCATCCTGAAGGGCTCGGGAGAGAAGACCATCGACAAGGATACGCGGGTGGCCAAGGCGTCGCTCTTTCGCGCGGAGCCTGTCACGACAGCTGCGACGAACCCTGAGATGGGCATGCCATACTGGGGCAATGTAGTGTCAGAGCAGGTGGCGCTTTTGCTGCCGAAGGCGACGACCCTCCCCCATCGGGGACAGCAGTGGCAAGGGCCCTGCACTTTTTTAGACGGGTCGTCTTGTCTGAATGTGTTTCGCCCTGGTGCTTGCCTGGCTTGGCAGTGTCGCCGAGTTAAGCAGCAGCAGCCCAAGACTTCGGAGCAGACCGAGGTCGCAGAGCCAGGGGCTGAAGGCGCCAGCGAGCCTGCCAAGAAGAGGCAGAGGAAACAGAGCACACCCAAGGACCAGCAGCAGCAGCCAGTCAGCAAGGGACAGGCTGTTGCCACGCACAAGATCGAGTGGGTGGATTTCTCTTTCAAGATTTCCACTCGCGGCGAGGGCGATGTGGAGTTTACGTGCGTGAGGCCAGTGCTAGTGGATTCGCCCGACCCAGCAGTGATGGCTGTCATTGGCGAGGCGTTCCGAGCACCGATCGAGTTCGACGATTCCGATCCGCAGAAGAAGAAGCGAGAGGCAAAGCGTGCCTCCAGCTTCGCACTCAAGTAGGTAGATGTTGCTGATCCCCTCAGCTTTCGCACCGCCGCTCGGCAGGCCAGCGTAATTTTTTTTTCGGGTCAGCGTCAGAGACCAGTGAATGCTACAGCACACCAACAGCACAGCAATATACACACCCAGACCCCACTTGGCGATGCTGGCATGCCACGCTTCAAGTGGTAAGATCTCTGCGGCCATGGAAGTCGGCCATTCACGAAAAAGGAAAATGCACCCATCCTTACATCCATCCATCACCCAACATCTTCACATCCACCCGTCATCCATCACCCAACATCTTCACATCCAGTCACCCATCCAATCATTCATCCATTCATTCATCATCCAGCATCATCCCCCTTCCCTCCCTAGTTGTCGCTGGCCACGCTGTAATGCAGTTTGCTCTCGGCAGGCACATCCAGCTTGCCCCCACCAAAAACAACAAATCAGATCAGTAGATGTTCCATAACGCATGCGTCATCTTGGCAGACCCCCCAAATTTTCAAGCTCGAGCTACCCCCTGTGCGCTACGAGCTGGGGCTGGCGAGTTCGATCGCAATTCAACGTTTCTGTGAACATGGTGCTCTCCATTGCCAATGCTTAGAGAAACCATAATATAAAAACAAGGCTGCCCATGGCAGCGAACGATGTCCATGTGACCCCCCCCCTGTGCCTAGAATCTTAGAGGTCGGTGCCTACTCATCCTCCTCCTACTCATCTCACCCTTTTTCCTCCTAGTCCTCCTCTTCATTCCTTCCCCATCCTGCTCATCTTCGCGTGCTCTGCCCACCAGCTGCCGTGCACCACCCCCTGCGTAGCAACTGATGGGCGCGGCGCCGCGCGGAGCGGCGGCGCGACTGGGGTGTGCCTGACGGGCTGGCCGCGGACGGCGGAACAGAGTCGCCGCGGACGGCGTCATCCCATCGGTACTACCGACATCGGTGCGGAAAGGATGGGGGCGACTACCGACAGCAGCAGGGCCCATTTCGACCCTGCCGATCGCGACCGATCGGGTTCGATATCGGTTTCGGCCAGCCCTATCCGATTCGATTCTGATATTCCGACGATCCGACGTTGATTCGATTACGATATTCCGACGATTCCGATATTCGCACGGCGTTGTTGTGCATCTTGGCGCGGCCGATCTGGTTCGTTTTCGACTCCGTGCCAATGCGGCCCGATCCGACGAACATTCCGATCCGATTTCCGACTTCCGATTTCGGAGTCGATGCTGGCTGACCTTGCAGCAGTCTTTGCCCAGTCCGACCGCGACGAGACGGCGTGGCTCCTTGGGGGCTCTTGGGGTAGAAGGCTCGGATTTTCGTTTGGTGTTGCCTCTCTTGGGCCACGTTTTGGGCCGTCTTGGGGCCCGCTTTGGGCCGTCTTGGGCGCCTCTTGGGCCGTCCTGGGGTCCGCTTCGGCAGTTTCTGGGGCCCTCTTGGAGGCCTCTTGGGACGTCTTGGGGCGGTCTTGGAGGCCTCTGAGGCCGTCTGGGAGCGCGCGGCGACCTGGCGAAGGAGCAGTGACACGGCCGCGCAGAGGCGGGAACGGATTCTCACGAGACCACCTGCGCGGCGCTGCGGCGACGACACAGTTTGACCTTCTCTCGGGCGGGCACATCGCCAATGAACGCGGCGAAGGCGAAGCATGCGCGGAGGCGAAACTGCACTGCCTCTTTCCCGTAGGTCGTCGTTTTCTCATTCCTTGTTTTGCCGATCGGCGCGTGCCCTCGCCTCGTCGTAGGGTGAGCCCTTGGTGCGCGCGCGCGGCGCATGTTGTCTGGGGCGGCGGCTCCCACGGCCCGCGCCAGAGCCTCTGCGTGTCCTCTTTGTGTTGTGCGACCAATGTCCAGCATGCCCCCGCCGGTCCAGTCTGCAGCTGGGTGTCGGTTGCACCCGCTGGGGTTCACTTGGCTGCGGGCTCCCTTCGAACTATGAACCCTGGCGACGTGCCCAACCCCTGCGCAATGCGGGGCGGGAGTAGTTTGGGAAATTTGACGAGAAGGCGACGGCGTGACATGGACGCGCATACTTTTGCTGCGAGCGGCATTCGGGGGCTTCGCAGGTGCACGCTTGTGAACCCCCGAAACGCAGGAGCAAAAAGGTTCGCGGGCAACGATGAGTAACTATGTGAACCCCTGAGTCACTAAGCAAAACGCCAGGTCCAAAAGGAGACTGGGCAAAGGACCTGAAACGTCGGCGAGGCAGCAACAACATGGCAAGGCCCCCCAAGGACAGCGAGATCCAGCTCAGGTCCGCGCAGTGCCTCACTCCGCTGGTCCCACCAGCAGCCTTCCAAAGTGGCAAGCCCACCAGCAACCCTCGAAAGTGGCGACCTTCTCGCTGATCGCAGCCCCCCAGGGACGGCGAGGTCTCGCTCAGGTTTGTGCGGTGCCTCACTCCGCTGGACCCACTGGCAGTCCTCGAAAGTGGCGACCGTCTCGCTGATCGCAGCCCCCCAGGGACGGCGAGGCCTCGCTCAGCTCTGCGCGGTGCCTCACTCCGCTGGACCCACCAGCAGCCCTCGAAAGCGGCGGCAGTTTCGCAGATCGCAGCCTCCCAGGGGCGGCGAGGTCTCGCTCAGGTCTGCGCGGTGCCTCACCCCGCTGGACCCACTAGCAGTCCTAGACAGTGGCGATAGTTTCGCGAATCGCAGCCTCCCCCAGGGACGGCGATGTCTCGCTCAGGTCTGCGCGGTGCCTCATTCCGCTGGACCCACCAACGGCCCTCGAAAGTGGCGGCAGTTTCGCAGATCGCAGCCCCCCAGGGACGGTGAGGTCTCGCTCAGGTCTGCGCGGTGCCTCACTCCGCTGGACTCACCAGCAGCCCTCGAAAGTGGCGGCAGTTTCGCAGATCGCAACCCCCCAGAGAGCGAGGCCTCGCTCAGGTCCGCGCGGTGGCTCACTCCGCTGGACCCACCAGCAGCCCTCGAAAGTGGCGGCAGTTTCGCAGATCGCAGCCTCCCAGGGACGGCGAGGTCTCGCTCAGGTCTGCGCGGTGCCTCACTCCGCTGGACCCACTAGCAGTCCTAGACAGTGGCGATAGTTTCGCAGACCGCAGCCCCCCAGCGACGGCGAAGAGAGGGCAGGAGGCAGGAGGAGGAGGAGGAGGAGGAGGAGGAGGAGGACGAGGGAGCCGCGACCCCGGTGTTCTATTCAAAACGAATACCCAACCAAGGAGGGTTGGGAATACGAAAGAAGATCTGCCCCTCCTCAGGGCCCTGGACCGATGGCAGTGGACTCCAAGACAAGATACCACCAATCCTCCTCCTCCTCTTCCTCCTCCTCCTCCTCCTCCTCCTCCTCTTCCCCCTCATCCTCCTCCTCATCTGCGTATCCTCCTTTCCTCCTCCTCCTCCTCCCCCGCCGCCTCCTCCCCCTGTTTCTCCTCCCTCTTCTCCTCCTCCTCATCTTCGTTTTCTACGTATCGTCCTCTCCTCCTGCTCCTGCTCCTGCTCCTCCTGCTCCTCCTGCTCCTCCTCCTCCTCCTGTTCCTCCTCCTCCTCCTCCTCCTCCTCCTCCTCCTCCTCCTCCTCCTCCTCCTCCGTCTCCTCCTCCTCCTCCTCCTCCTCCTCCTCCTCCTCCTCCCTTCTCCTCGTTCTCCTCGTCCCTCCTACTGGCCCCTTCGACCCCTCCCCGTTCCCGCCTCCAGGCAGCAGCTTTTGGCGGGGGGTGGGTGGGGGGGGGCGCGTTGGGCTGGGCCAGGGCCTGCAGAGGTTTCCAGGGACCCAACTGGGCTTCCAGCCATCCTCTTCCTCCGTTCCTCCGCCTCCTCCTCCTCCTCCGCCTTGTCCTTCTCCGCCTCCTCGTCCTCCTCCTACTGCTGCTGCTACTACTACTACTACTACTACTACGACTACTACTACTACGACGGCTACTATTACTCCTATTACTACTACTACTACTACTACTACTACTACTACTACTACTACTACTACTACTACTACTATTACGACTACTACTACTACTACTACTAATACTACTACTACGACTACTACGACTACTATTACTACTACTACTACCACTACTAGTACTGCTGCTACTGCTACTACTACGACTACTACTACCTACTACTTACTACTATTTACTACTACTACTACTACTACTACTACCTCTACCACTGCTACTACCCTTACTACCACTACCACTACCACTACCACTACCACTACCACTACTACTACTACTACTACTACTACCACCACTACTGCTACTACTTCTACTTCTTCTACTACTTCTTTTACTACTACTACTACTACTACCACCAGGACTACTACTACTACTACTACTACTACTACTACTACGACCGCGACTACGACTACGACTACGACTATGACTACGACGACTACTACTACTACTACTACTACGATTACTACCACCACCACTGCTACTACGGCTACTACTACTACTACTACGACGACTACTATAATTATTATTACTACTACTACTACTGCTACTACTGCTACAACTACTACTACCACTACTACTACTACTACTACTACTACGGCGACTACTACTACTACTACTACTACGACTACGACTACGACGACTACTACTGCTACTGCTACTATTACTACTACTATTACTACGATTACTACGGCGACTACTACTACTACTACTACGACTACGACTGCGACGATGACTACTACTATTACTACTACTACTACTACTACTACTACTACTACTACTACTACTACTATCACTCTTAGTACTACTACTACGACGGTTCCTACTACTACTACTACTGCTACTACTACTACTTCTACTACTACCACTACTGCTCGTACTACTACGGCCACTACGACTACTACGGCTACTACGGCTACTTCGGTATCTACTACTACTACTCCTACTACTACGACGACTACTACTACTTCTTCTGCTACCACTACTTCTACTACTACTACTACTACTACTGCTACTAGTACTACTACCACTACTAGTGCTACTACTACTACTACTACTACTGCTGCTGCTGCTGC